TAGGACCAATTGAAGAATTGTCAGCTGTTGCATTTTAAACTAATTTCTATAAACCAAAATACATATGTTATTTTCCATTTTGGAATAATCATGCTCAGTGTTTTGGCTTTATTCTTAATTCATTTTAAAGAGTGGCCACTAGAGGTCACTAATGTTTAAATGATTCCATTGAACACTGGTTTTGACTGTTAGTACGCATGTATGTTGTCTCCTAGATTCTTGTTGGCTCCAGTATGGGTGGCTGGCTGATGCTTTTGGCTGCTATCGCTCGCCCAGAGAAGACAAAGGCATTGGTGGGCATTTCCACAGCAGCAGATCATTTTGTTACAGCCTTTAAGACACTTCCTATAGAGGTGAGATGCAACTAAAGTAGTTGTTGCATGTTCACATTACATCACATTAAATGTTTCAAATGTTGGGGTGTTGATATTCGAAATTAGTCAGAGAGTCCACATATGTTATTCAGGTGAGAAAAGAGTGTGAGGACAAGGGTTCATGGACGATCCCCACGAAAAGTAACGAGGAGGGCATGTACACTGTGAGTATGGACTTCCTGCGTGATGCGGAGAACCACTGTATCCTACAGAGCCCCATCCCTATCACCTGCCCGGTTCGTCTCATTCACGGCCTGAAAGACGAGGACGTGCCCTGGCACATCTCCATGCAAGTGGCCGAGCGTGTGCTGAGCCCCGACGTGGACATCATTCTACGGCGCCACGGCCTGCACCGTATGGCTGAAAAAGATGACATCAAGCTCATTGTCTACACCATCGATGACCTCATAGACAAACTTACCACCATGGTGTGAGCCACCGTTTGGGAACAGGTTACCACGCAACTAGCCTTAAGACCCTCTCCCACTTGTTTTTGCCAAACACTCACTTCCTGTTTTATCTCGCAAGACAAGAACGATGGAAAAAGAGTGAACTGTGGGAGGGCAAAATCTTTCTTTTTCATGTTTACCCAGTGCAATGCTGTGCCATTAAGCCTTTAAGGTAAAGCTGCTGTTTATCTAGCACAAGATTTGTCTAGATCTCCTGTGCCTTTTTTAACCATTTTTCAAACTGTTTTATGCAAATAAAGCCTCTGTATACCAATACACAGTGTTTTGATGTAAATATCAGTAATGACATACTGTATTCCTCTGAGGAATATTCCAGTTTCAGTGCAAGTTAAGCTCAGTTGACAGCACATCATTTTAAAAGTAAATTCAACTGATCCATTGATTAAAACAATGGATCCGTTAAAAAAAATGTTTTTCAGTAAATAAAATATCTTATTGTTCACTTCTGTTAGATCTTGTGTATTTGAGCTGTTTACTTAATTTTATTGTCATTTTGGTGTTTATGGCATTGCGTTGTCATTGCATACAACTTTACAAAGTGATATTATTCTCTCTCTTTGCATCTTGTGACTAATATTGAAAAGGGGAGTATTTTAAAGTTTACAAATTGGCCCCGTTAATTTCCATTATACGTCACTGTAACCCAGATTGTTTTTATTTAAGAACATAATTGTGGAAATTCACTTTTGTGGTAATCAACATTATGCCACAAACACTGTGGATAGAGCTTGTGCTGAGGTCTAAATGTAAGAAGGAGTTAATGGTGTGTGTTCTATTACGTTAGCCCACCTGAACATCCCATCAGGCACAGTATACTGAGCACATTATATCAATCTGACCTTTCAGTTCTCCCTTGCCCCTGCACTCCATGTTTGTTTCGAGGACGTATTGGGCCACTGCTCTATGAACTGCTTGGTTGTTTATTAACATGCAAAATTAGTGTAGGACTGTTTAATGGGCCGGGGGCCTTTTCTTTTTTTTACCCCCCGCCCCCCTAAACATGAGCTTGTTTTTTTTTTTTAACAACCAAACTGACCTTTCTATATCAGTTGGTTATCAGAGGGATCTAAACTCAAATGGCTCCATGCAGTTTATGCGTAATGAATCAATGAAACATGAATCACTTGATTCATTCAGGTTTCATTTAAACTGTAATTGCTTTATAGAAGAACTTTCTTGAATTATATAAGCTGCCTTATACTATAAAGTACAATGTAATTTCATACAGTCTTATTGTTATTAGAAAATAAATATTATGTATTAAATATTTAAATTCCTGTTTACTCACTTATAGGCCTACTTCATATTTATTCGTAAAAGTAGATTTAGACCATTCTTAAAGGTTTCCGTAATTACTTCAAAGACTTGTTTTCCTGTTTATCACATGCTGCTAGTTTTTTCTTTCAGAATTTACAAGCATTAGTAATGCATCTTAATCTAATTGGAAATGGGCTAGGTTCTTTAGAGGGCAAGAGCAAGCAAAAGGATCTGTTTGTTTTTTTCTGTCAGTTTTGAAACTTTTTTACATGTCTTTCTTAAAGGGATAGTTCACCCAAAAAAATAAATTCTTTCATTAATTACCTCATCATCGTTCCAAACCCGTAAGACTTTAGTACATCTTCGGAATACAAATGAAGATATTTTTGATGAAATCTGAGAGCTTTCTGTCCCTCCATTGACAGCTACATGCAACTACCACTTTCATGCTTCAGAAAGTTTATAAATAGATCGTAAAACTAATCCACATGCATTGAGTTTAGTCCAAACCAATCGCTTTATAGGATGAACAAATTTAATTTAGGCTTTAGTTTGACTCATATAAACAGTGATCTGCAAAAATAAACTGAAGCTCAAACCTCAACTGAACGCTTGATACGTGAGAATAAACCTCATTGGTTCTTGCTAAAGCTCAAACGTGCTGTAACAAGAGCAGAGCCGGACAGTAACGGAGTACATTTACTTGAGTACAGTACTTAAGTACAATTTTGAGGGATCTGTATTTTACTCGAGTATCATTTTTGGGGAGTACTCATGACTTTACTCAAGTACATTTGAGAGGCAAATATTGTACTCTTTACTCCAATACATTTCTATCCATAACCGTGAGTACACAAGTAAAAAATAAAATAAAAAAATCTCGGAAACCCTCAATTTGTTGTTTCCCTCTCAAACGTGATTGGATTGTGCAGGCGCCACTGATTGGGACAGCCTATCAGCAATCACTTTCAGCTTTCCGCCAAAGTCAACTCCATGGTCAGATTTTATATTACACATTAATGTAAGCCAAACATTTGGTTTGATGTTCTTGAGTATGTGGTGTGTTTACCTGTGGTGTGTCAGGTTCAAATGTAGCAGTGGCGTAGCCACGAGGGATTTCTGATTTCTTAAAAAAAAAACTTTAGGAGGCAAAATATATTTTTACTGATTATGTGAATTACACTGCGCAAACCAAATTAGGCGAATGAAGAAGGGTTGGCGCTCAGTCTCCACAGTACATAAAATATTCATTTTGTTTTATTTTATTTTTCCGGTTTGCATTTATGAGGAAAAAACAATGTTATGGACGTGTTCTCCGTTACGGACGTGAGCGCTCTGAAAGCGGCATAAAAAATGCTTTAAAACTTTCACAGAGACCTCAAACAGAAAACACAAAACCTTTCTTTAACCTGAATTTCGTTTTGCATTAATTGTATCTTAATTTTAATCAATGTTTCATCAACCAATTGCATGGGTTTAATAAATAAGTAGTAAATAGCAGACGATAGATAAGAAACGGAGGCGCCGGCCTGTGAACTGGATCTCGTCTCATAAATGAACCGAAACTGAGTGTATAAGGTAGCCTACTTGCCTCTCACAGACATGTCTACTTTTAAACAGAAAAAAATCAAAACGAAAGAAAACAGACTACAGACTGTTCTCTGCTTATGTAATCCGTATGAAATGTGCATTTCTTTGGCGCGTTCACTACTGAAGATCGCGAGTCAGCATCGTCAACTTCATCTAGCCGACACTGACAAAGAAAACACTTGTTTATTAACAAGTGTTTATTAATAAACAATTAAAATATCTCCTTGCTATATTTTACATATTCATAATCATTCCTTTTGCCGGTTCTTTGTGACAGCTTTTAGGTGCTTTATTGGCAGCGCCACCCTTACGTGTGTGTGTGTGTGTGTGTGTTGTCCCCGCATTTAAAGATGGGACCCCCCAAAAATGTAATTAAATTAAATAAAGCAACATGGTAAAAAGATGAAAATGACTTGATTTTACTTTCAATTCCTTTTACATTCTCCAAGGTATTAACATTAACATTTTTCATAACTCCACGTTTCTGTGCATAAATGTAAGCACTGTGGCAGTAGATTAGTAATTCAATATTTAGAAAATCTACTCTTGTACTCTTGATACTCAAGTACTTTTAAAAACAAGACATCTGAATGTAGTACTTTTACTTGTACTTGAGTAAAATTTAGCAAGGGGTATCTGTACTTTAACTCAAGTAACAAAGCTCTGTACTCTGTCCGCCTCTGAACAAGAGAATGAACATCATTGGTTCTCACACGTCAAGCGATGTTTGAGCTTTCACCATAACTGCTGTGTGAGTTGATAAATGTTTATGTGAATAAAAGTCTTAATTCAATCTGTTCATCATATAAAGCAATCGTGTCTCTTCAGACATTTGTTTGGACTAAACTGCTCAATTTATGTGGATTAGTTTTACAATCTCTTCTCTTAAAAAAAGGTACAGAAAGCTCTCAGAATTCATCAAAAAGATCTTAGTTTGTGTTCCGAAGATGAACGAAAGTCTTATGGGGTTGGAACGACATGAGGGGGTGAGTAATTAATGACAGAATTTTTATTTTTGGGTGAACTATCCCTTTAAATCTCGCATTATGAAAACGCATAACATTGTAGAGAGGTAAATGTATATGCAATCTTGTTTTAAAAATAAGTGTGTTCACCATTGTTTGTTGTAGGCCGATTTTGTACCATAGTGTTGCATTTGTTTGAACAGTCCTTCTTGCTATTCCAGACAAGCTCATGAATGTCAATTAAGTCAGGCCGCCGCTACTTGGTAACTTTCCATCAGCGTCCAGATACGTAAGCTAATTAATATTCATAAGCCAAGCCTCCACCATAGTAGGATTCCGCACTCCGGACAGTGCGCTCGGAGCCACGCCCCGTCCCCGCTGCATGGATGTTTCAGTCAAGCATCTCCAGCAGTGACCACAGGAAGGATTTGACCTCGCTGCGACAGAGGACGACACGCACATCTCCTTTCAGTAAGTAATACATTATCCTTGACAAAATAATTTGTATGTGGACATCGCAGGCAAAATTATCGGTAGGATAAATGTAATAGTTTAAAACTAATTTGGGCTAAACCTGCGCATGCAGTTTCTTTTTGCGTCTGCACACTCTACCTAATTCTAAGAAATAATAGGATAATTGCATTGATCTTCTTTTATAAAGTTCGAAATAGGTTTAGATTGAAACATATAGCCTATAGATTTTTTTTTTTGTCACATGGAAACAAGCATGGACCACACCCCGGTCAATATTACCCCTTGTCAGTTCGTGATCATCATATATACAATAAAATATAAACACAATACAGGACAATTCATATTCTGCAGAGCTCAAAACCTGATTCTGACAATTAATATTCGCAAAGACTTTTAGGCACTTTAAGTACCCAACAAGTATACAGAGTAGCTAAAGGTGAAATTCTCTCTCTCTCTCTCTCTCTCTCTCTCTCTCTCTCTCTCTCTCTCTCTCTCTCTCTCTCTCTCTCTTTGTAGCACAGGTTCAGCTAGTGTCTCTTTATATATATATGTATATATATATAGGCTACTGGGGAAATATCTAGAATTATTAAACTTAAGTGACCAATGGCGAACCGAGGACCCAGTTATGGACTGAGCCGTGAGGTGCAGGAGAAGATCGAGCAGAAATATGACACAGAGCTGGAATCGCGACTGGTGGACTGGATTGTTGCTCAGTGCGGAGGAAATGTTGAAAAACCACAGCCAGGGAGACAAAACTTTCAGAACTGGCTAATGGATGGCACTGTAAGTAAACATCAGTTTGACAATATCACACCAACATGATTCTGTTCATCTTTTATTTACCTTTATTTACCCCATTCCTTTATCGTCCATGTCTGCAGATCCTCTGTAGACTCATTAACAGTTTGTATCCGCGTGGTAAGGAGCCTATTACGAAGATCCCAGAGACACAGATGGCCTTTAAGCAGATGGAAAAGATCTCCCAGTTCCTTCAGGCAACTGAAGCCTATGGAGTAATCACCACAGACATTTTTCAGACAGTGGACTTGTGGGAAGGTACAGTAAAATTTGTTTTTATAAGTTCTGGAGCAGCACGTCTTGATCTTCGGAATTAGCTTGTAAAAGCATGCAGCTGTAGCAAATGAATATAGGAGTTTCAATTGTTTCGAAGGCATTGCTTTTAATCAACCAGGCCTTTGAATGCTTTCTGGGGTACTGTAGTATGCAAGTTGCGTTCTTGGTGTGTAGCCAAAGTCACTTCAGTGCTTGTTGGTTCCCTTGGTTAAAGGAAAAGACATGGCAGCCGTCCAGAGAACTCTAATGTCGCTGGGTAGCGTGGCTGTCACAAAAGACGATGGACATTACCGAGGTAACCGGGACTGGTTTCACAGGTGAGGAAGATTTCTGCCAGACTAATTCATAATGGTGCGTTAAGTCCTGTCTGGTTGGACTTGTAAATGGACTTTGTTGTGTCTCAGTGCCGTGTGAACTCTTTTTGATCTTGTGTGACAGGAAATCTCAAGGCAACCGTCGAGAGTTTTCTGAGGAGCAGATGCGGCAGGGTCAGAATCTGATTGGCTTACAGATGGGCAGTAACCGTGGGGCATCTCAGGCTGGCATGACGGGTTACGGCATGCATCGGCAGATTATGTGAAGCTATACGAGTGCCAAGCAACCTGCATAAACACCCAAAAAACCTTAACCCCCTCCCCCTCACCCCCTCACCTCAGCCCTTACCAAGCAGTGTTCTTTGATGGTGGCATCTATTTGATGAAGATGAGCAGTCTTAAGGGGTTTTAAGACATTAGAGCATGCTAGATATATTTATTTTATGTTTGGTTTGCTCAGCCTGTGATAATGTATTTATTTAATGTATGCAAATAGTGATAGTGATTCTTAAAGTTTTATCTAAGCAAGTCAAAACAACTGCCTTATTCTCTATGAGCAAACAGTGTGTTGATATACCAAATAACAGACAGCAACTGTAACAGTTTACTAGTTTACATAGTGTTTGAATGAACAGTAAAGGACAAAAGTTTGCCCTTGCGGATACTGTATTGCACCTGTTGATATTGTGATCTGCCCTTTTGCTGTTGGAAAAATGGAAAAAACAAGAACAATTAAGAATGTCAATTCACATACTAACCAGAAGTACTGTATACAGATTAATAATAGTCAATAAATGTATAAATATATTTGTTTGTGTTGTCCATTGTTGTGTGTGAACATTCCATGTCAGTTTCATAAGTTTGGTTTTCGTGACCATGTTTGATCCAAATGTTTAATAAATTGGTACCTTAACATGATTGGTAAATGTGTTCTTGTCTTCATTAAAATAATATTTCATGTTGCATACGTTTTAAAACGAATGAATTTTATACAATATTATTTAGTTTGCTTATAGGCTGTCTCTACAGATTTAAAATGTTCTTGATGTTACATTATACGTTTTTATGATCAGGAGATTGATCTCTAGTTTATTAAAATCAATAAAATGTGGTTTTATAAAGAATTAAGGTGTGGTCAATTTCGCGGGCAAAACTTGAACACGAGCGAAATCTGCTTGGGAAACTTTTTTTGCCCACATGCGAAACACATGATCTTATGGAAGCTTGTTTCTGCCACGAAATTAAAAATTGCAAAAAGTTTCTCAGAATTGCGAGTTATAAAGTCAGAATTGCGAGAAAAGTCCGAGTTTTTTCTCGCAATTGCGACATCTTATAAGTTTATATCCCACAATTCTGACTTTTCATCGCGCAATTGCGAAATTATTTTAATTGTGAGTTTATAACGTGCAATTGTAAGTTTATAGCTCACAATTCTGAGGGAAAAAAAGTCCGATTTGTGGGATAAAAGTTCAAGCTTCCTATTGAAAATTTTGCCCACAAACTTTCACTGAGCGACAGTAAATGTGACAGCGCCTTAAGAATAAAACGTTTTTAAAATAATTTTTACAAAAAAGTTTCAGGTGGATTTCGCCTTTACAATTTAATACCTAGCCTGTATATTTCTGCTTGTTGTGGCTCTGTTATAAGTTTTCTTATATGGCTGTAGAAACCTTTTAGCTCTAATTGAAACCTTTATGTTCAAGAGTGGGAGGAAGACAGACATATTTATAAAGCTTAAAGCCAAATGGAAAAGCATTATCCATAAGGTCAAGCGTTGGGATGCGTTGGGTTGCATTTGCAGTGTCACTGAACTGGAAATTTAATCAAGATAGAGTAACACCCATGTGGAGCTGAATGGGGCCATGTTCATTAAGCAATGAATTGCATGATGCTCTTTAGACTGTTCAGTAACATTTATAAAGCAACCAAATCAATTATGGTAAATTAAAGCACAAGATACTTGGGTCACATAAATGGTAAATGGACTGCATTTATATAGCGCTTTCACAGACACAATGGCCACCAAAGCGCTTTACAATTTGCCTCACATTCACCCATTCACTCACTCATTCATACACCGACGGGCGACGGCAGCCATGCAAGGCACCATCCAGCTCGTCGGGAGCAGCTGGGGTTAGGTGTCTTGCTCATGGACACCTCGACACTTGGTCAGGTGGAACCGAGGATTGAACCACCAACCTTCCGGTTTGTAGACAACCCACATGAACCACTGAGCCACTGCCGCCCCACATAACATCCCAAAGCCATGATGGCTTTCAGTTTAATATTAGCTTTACTCCACAATATAATGAATATAAATGGCTTTTAGCAAAACTCTATGCTAATATGGATTGTGCAATAGCATGTTTCAGGTTGATCATTATCTAAACTAAAATACAAAAAGTAATTACAATAGAGGACACAGGTGATGTGTAACATATTTGGGTAAAATAAGTAATCTAAACAATGACATTCTGACCAATGAAATAGCAGGTTTGCAAAGTCAAGTCTGAAAAATCTTCAGATCTTTGTGGACATTCTGTGTTTTGTGCCTCCTCAAACACAGCGAGCGTTCTCTTGCTGCACAGGTGCTTGAGAGGAACATGCTCTTTCCCAGACAGATTTTTACGCTTTTTCTAGTTGTATTGATCAATGCTGCAGAGCAGAGTGTTCCTGACAAAAATTCTGGCTGTGTGAACGGTCACCCTGGGATCCCTGGAGATCCAGGACACAATGGAATGCCAGGTCGGGATGGCAGAGATGGGGCCAAAGGTGATAAAGGAGATAGAGGTAAGAATGAAAGCAAAAACGTCTTGACTCCAGTTAATCAGTCACCTTTAAGCTAAGTTATGATGTCAGATAGGTACACAAATGAAACATTGTAAAAAAAAAAAAATGCTTTGGAAAGATGTTTCCCATACTGTTTGACATTTAAATGTTAAAGTCTGAGACACTAGCATTGTTGATCAGATTGATATAATTTTGACCTCCTTACATGCAATTGTGTTTCACACAATACATACAAAAAAATACAACTGTTTATGTTTTCTAAAGGTGATATAGGAACATGTGGAGAAGCTGGAAAAGTCGGACCAAAAGGAGATAAAGGAGAACATGGTAAATATTGTGTGTGTGTGTGTGTGTGTTTGTGTGTGTGTGTGTGTGTGTGTGTGTGTGTGTGTGTGTGTGTGTGTGTGTGTGTGTGTGTGTGTGTGTGTGTGTGTGTGTGTGTGTGTGTGTGTGTGTGTGTGTGTGTGTGTGTGTGTGTGTGTGTGTGTGTGTGTGTGTGTGTGTGTGTGTGTGTGTGTGTGTGTGTGTGTGTGTGTGTGTGTGTGTGTGTGTCCTTTTCTAAGTCCTCCCATATGGCAAAATATTTTTAAATAATAATTTATTTTAAATTTTTTCATTTATTCCAAAAATGGCCAAAGCATATTTATATTATTAAAATCTAAAATATATTTACATAAATATGTTTTGATAAGTTTCGGATAGTTAGATTTCCTCATATATTTATTGGCCATTTATTGTATATTTTCATTACAAATATATTTGTATTGTCCAAAATAATTTAGCATTTACCCAAAATTGCTAATTAAGATTTAAGATTGCAAATATATTTTCTTGCCTGCCCCTTAAAGTACATTTTATAAGGTTTAACTGTTTGTATATAATTAAACATGTATGGACAATTCAGTTGAATAGAATAGAGTCAATATTAACTTCATTTGACTACTGCTACTATCATCAAATTGGTGCTTTTTCAGGTGTTCCTGGCATAGCTGGCGTGAAGGGGAAGCGAGGAGACAATGGAGAAAGGGGCCCACCTGGCAAAATGGGGCCCCAAGGCTTCTCAGGGCCACTGGGCTTGAAAGGCCAGAAGGGAGAACTTGGTTTGTCAGGACCACAGGGCATCAAAGGGGACGTGGGTCCTATAGGCCCTGAAGGATCACAAGGAGACATTGGCTATAGGGGAGACAAGGGCATACAGGGTCCTTTGGGGCCCCCAGGGCGACCAGGACCAAAAGGTGACCTCGGCCAACCAGGTATCAAAGGCAGTATTGGTGTTCGTGGTGAGAAAGGGTCAAAAGGGGACATCGGGGAGCAAGGTCCAAAGGGGGACATGCCTGAGATACCAAAAAGTGCTTTCTCAGCTAGACTGAGCGAAAGCACCAAGATACCTCCCGCTAATGCTCCAATTCGCTTTGATAAAATCCTCTATAACCGTCAGGGTCACTACGAACCTGAGACCGGCCGCTTTACTTGTGCCATCAGCGGAGCATATTTTTTCTCCTACCATATCACTGTCTACTCTCGCAATGTCAAAGTGGCCCTGGTGAAGAATGGTCAGAAAGTGATCTACACTATGGACAGTTACCAAGCAGGTGAGGACCAGGCTTCCGGAGGGGCAGTCCTAGAACTGGAGGTCGGAGATAAAGTGTGGTTGCAAGTGGCTGATAAACAGCTATTTAACGGGTTATATGCAGATGAAGATGACGACACTGTTTTTTCTGGATTTCTTCTTTTTGCAACCTAAAGATGCTACCCCGAAGAGGAATACAGTGGTGCAAAACCATGCTTTAAAAGAAAATATTTTAAAGTACCCAGGAATTCAAAATTGACCATACTTACTTTGTTTGCCTAAAGTGATCGTTTTGTGGTGAACAATTCATCCATGCAAGTCAATCCACACAAAAAAATTTTTTGGCTTCGTAATCTTTAATCAAAATCTGAAATTTCCCCTCCCCTCTGCGTTGGAGGACCTTGCCTGATGACGTAGGTTTCACGGTTTGGGCGTCTTCTTAACATCCGTAATCACGCCCCTCCAACTGACAGTAGACAGGCTGAATGAAAACACCTACTTTTCTAGATCCAATCAGGTGCTAGTTGGGAAAAAAGCCACGCCCACCATTTTGCCTCATTTAGTATTCCGTTTCTCTCGGAAATACGTCACAACACTGGAGAAAAGTCGTTTGCAACTTCCGGTTCACGGGGACTTTAAATTCACTAAATGGTGTTATAATTTTCAATCTAAATATAAATCATCCTCTGTGCTTCTTAGATCCATCTGTGAACAAAAGCTTAAAATCGGCATGAAATGGAATTTGCGATTGTCATTTTTCCCTATTGTGACGTTTATCTGATATAAAAGGCTTCTCTGACAAGAAAAACAATGAAAGGCAGGACTTGATTTTCTGATTGGGTCGTTGTCGTTTGCTCTCATGTGAGTGACAGGTTGCTGGAGAAGAGGGATTATTGTCCCACCCTTACGCTGACGCACACGCCATCAGAGAATAGATGTCATTGCGAGGGGGGAAGTGAATTTAATATTTAGGATGAATTATTTGGAATCTAAAAAAAATGATTATGTGCATGGATAAATATTTTATAAGTCACATTCAAGTCAAATCACATTTAATTATAGAGCTTTATACAATACAGATTGTTTCAAAGCGCTTGACATTAACAAGCAGGATAATTAGTGCTGTAAAATTAATCTGTTATGAAATTAATTAAATTTCAGCTGTAAAGCAGTGTCATTATTCAGCTCAATTTAATTGGTTCAATTTGGTTCAATAACTGTCAGTGTTGCACTGTTCATAAATTATAAATGTAGGCTAAATGTAAATTATGAGTTCAATTCCGATATAAGCAGCTCTACAGATAATAGTGTTATTATTTAGCTTAATTCAGAATATTGTTGATTCAATAAAGTTCAAAATCTGTGTCAATGTCAATGTTTGTTCTTATAAACACTGCAATATATTCCATACAAAAAATAGGAATTGTTCATTTTGAGGCTTTCAAGGTCATGCATGGGGTTGACTGCTTGTGGGATAAATTTGGATAAACATCTGCCAAATGTGTAAATAATATGCAGGCTCATTGGAGAATTTGAATTTACCCTTTGGCTAACATTT